TTTAAAAACCATTTTTGGGGGGGGGAAACCCCCCCAAAAGGGGGGTCCCCCCCCCCCCCCCCCCCCCCAACCCCCCCGGGATTTCTTCCTATGCCAGTCTTGAATGCCTTGGGACTGACTTAGTGGTTCTAGACGTGATAGACATAACAGGACGAGGCTCTGGAACGACAGCCATGACTCTGGAATGGCCATTTTGTGGAAAATCTAGGCTTGCAGACATTTTAGAAAAAGTCTCCGAGCTGGCAGCCATTTCGTGAGCAGTCTCTGGGTTCCCTTTCATGGGAACTTCGAACTGCGTCCTCTAGGGGTCGCTATGGGGAACGCCTCATCGTGACCCGTGTCTGAAGCATACATTGAAAAAACACCAACTCGTTGGCCGGCGACAGCCATGATGTCACTACCGGTGCAACTATAGTATAAATAGGCGCCGGGAGCACACATCATTCTCTTCTTCGTCTTCATTGACTGTTCTGTTTGAAGCGTGCATTTCCAAGGAAAAAGTAAGAGCTATCTCTATTCATTATTGCGAACACTAGCAGAGCATTTAGAAGGTGTGTGCATCCGTGTCATCGCTATTTGACACCCGATGACACACACAATCTATGCATTGTTTGTTTGGGCGAAGAGCACGCACGCGATGTCCTCGAGGGGGCAATCTGCGTGCATTGCGAGTGTTTTCCAATGAAAAAGCTCCGTTCTCGTTTGTCTCTCTTTTCGAGTAAAGAGGGGCAGGCATCTGCTTCCCGCGGCTGAGGCACGGAGGAGAATGAGCTCGTGGGGATCTCAGGTGGACCTGGCCGATGGGTTTAAAGAGGGGCTTTCCCTCTCGCGATCATCTCTCTTTAACATCATCTGATCCAGGGGCCAGTGCTCTGCTGGGTTCAGCCCAGGAAGAGCAGGAAATGGATGAAGGGAGCGAAGAAGCTGAGGCTGAGCCTTCTCAATCCTCCTGCTCTGCTTATGACGAGCTCTTAGAGGTTATGGATCGCGCCACGGCGAGGCTTGACTTGCCGTGGAAGCGGACTAAGGAAGTGACGTTGTGAGGTCGTCTCGAGGAACGTTATCTTTCTGGCCATAACTCAGAAGGGAGCGAAGAAGCTGAGGCTGAGCCTTCTCAATCCTCCTGCTCTGCTTATGACGAGCTCTTAGAGGTTATGGATCGCGCCACGGCGAGGCTTGACTTGCCGTGGAAGCGGACTAAGGAAGTGACGTTGTGAGGTCGTCTCGAGGAACGTTATCTTTCTGGCCATAACTCATAGCTCAGGTGAGCCTTCCTTTCCTTTCTGATCTCCATACTGAGATCGAGAAGGAATGGAAGAGGCCGTTTTCCTCACACATCCATCGGTTTCAGCATACCAGTTATGCGAACATCGAAGCGATGCGCAAAAACGGCTATCAGAGAATGCCCCTTGTAGAAGAGACGCTAGCCAGATATCTCTCTATGGGTTAGACATCGTCTCTCAAAACTCCCTCCTTGCCATCCGTGCCCCTTCAGACTACATCTCTCTTGAATGGCAGGACATACGCAGCAGCAGGTCAGGCTGTTGCTTCACTGCACACGATGGCGGTGCTCCAGGCATACCAGGCTGACCTGCTGAAAGACCTGGATAAAGGCGAGGGCCTTTCTCCTGATGAGATGGCTGAGTTGCGCCGCACCATGGATCTTGCTCTCCATGCTACTAAGCAGGCTGCCTCTGCCATGGGCAGATCTATGGTGGCAACGGTAGTGACGGAGAGGCATCTGTGGGTAAACCTGGCAGACATCGGGAAGAAAGAAAGGGGTTTTCTTCTCGATGCCCCGGTTATGCCATCTGAACATTTTGGTACCTCCATTGAGATGGTGGTCGAAAAGTTCAGGGAGGCGAAGGCGCGCTCAGCGGCCTTCAAAACCTTCATTCCACGAAGGTCCAGGTCTGAGCCCAAACAACCCAGGGGTCCTGGCCCGTCTCGGTTTGAGGATCAGAGACGAGTACAGAAGGCTAGTGTCATGACTCGCGCTCCTCCTCCACCTAGGGGTAGGAAGTATCGTGTCACGGGTCACGACGAGGCGTTCCCCATAGCGACCCCTAGAGGACGCAGTGTCTCGTTCCCTACTCAGGGAACCATGGTTACGTAAGTAACCTGAGATGTTAGCAGCCATCTTGGGAAGAGGCTTTGGAGTGGGAGATACTGCAGGAGTGCTGTGTTGCTCCTGTTGGGTACAGGCAGGGTCAATCATCAGCAAAAAAAACAATGGAGGCAACGCAAGGCATAATCAATTAACAAGTATAAGGTCATGGCAGGCAGCAAACGATCAACAATTGGCCCACGATAGAAAACTGTCCTGGGATCAAAACTAGGCTAGGCGAGGCAAGGAACAAGACAGAAAAACAAAGGAACACTGAATGACTAAACATACAGGCTAACAATCATCAGCAATGTGTTTTGAGTGTGTGTGCATCATTTATAGTCCTTCTAATATGAGGCAGCTGTGAACTGGTAATGAGTGCTGATGAGTCCGGGCAAAGATTATGGGAAATGGGTCCTGGGTGAAATTATAAAAGTCAAGGGATGGAGCTCATGGGCACTCCAGCTGGTAATCGTGACACAATATGGTACAAGATTATCCTATTTAAAACATTGTGATAAATGAGTTAGGTCAAAAGCAATCTAAAAATAAATCAAAAATAGTTTAAATATATTATGTATTAATGTAATAGTATAGGGTGACCATCCGTGCCATTTTCCCAGGACGTGTCCTGGCCAGGATTTCTATATTGCCTAAAATATCTAGGTTTTGGCTTTGTTTGCGTGTGCAGACAGATGACATCAAAATACTTCGAGAGCATTTTGAAAGCATAAGGAACCGTCTGTATGGTATTTTGATGTCATACACCGATCGGTCTGCACACGCAAACAAAGCCAAAACCTAGATATTTTAGGCAATATAGAAATCCTGGCCAGGACGCGTCCTGGGAAAATGGCACGTATGGTCACCCTATAATATTGTATTACCTAAAATGTGTAATAATGAATCACATTACTAACTACAACTTTTGTCATGTAATTTGGAATCAGTAATGGACTACAATTTGTAGGCAATCTACCCAGCACTGTTTATGCACTAAAGCCAGTATAAACTCTTGCACAATCTGCATATTTGTAAACTCTCAAGACAGAAGTCACTACCTGAACCTCACAGTAATTGGCTGTGCCCTTGCATTTTCACTTGATATTTGTATAAATTCGAGACTGCAGATTGTTCAGGCAATAGTGGAAGGTCACAAGATGCATGGCCTTGTTTTATTGCTGTGTTGTGGATACATGGTGGAGCACTTCAAGAGAATGGGTTCATCTTACATTGCACGGGGATGGAAATTTATGGCAGCAGTATAAGCATGCAGCAGACATCAGGCGCATCAGGTGCAACATGCACACATTGGTAAAATATGTACTCAAATAGCAAACAGAGAGAGGTGGTCTCTCTGTAACAATCCACTATACCAGAGTTCTTTAAACATTTCTTTTCCCTAGGAACCCTCCACCAAGCTAGATTTCTTCAATAAGATTCTTATATTATATAATGCTGAACTGATTAGTTAAAGATTTATAAATCAGTTTGATATTTTCTAAATTGTATATGTTTTTATATAGACTGATTAGCTACAACATTAAAATCACCTGCCCTGATATCGTGTAGGTCCCCCTCGTGATGCCAAAACAGTCCTGATGCTTTGATGCATGGACTCCACAATATTTATGAATGTGTCCTGAGCTATCTGAATTTGGGAATTTGGAGCCGAAGGCAACACCTTAAGCCCTTTGTCATGTTCTTCAAACCATTCCTGGACAATTTTTGCAATGTGGTAGGGTGCATTATCCTGCTAAAAAAGAGGCCACTACCATCAGGGAACACCATTGCCATGAAGGTGTAAATGTAGTTTGTAACAATATTTAGGTAGGTGGTACTTGTCAAAGTAATATCCACATGAATGCCAGGACCCAAGGTTTCCCAGCAGAACATTGACCATAATAATCCTAATAATCCCCAACCACTTGATTGGCTCTATGACTCTCTCTCCTCTCCACCTGTAACTGGTGTGTGGTGAGCGCACTGGTACCGCTGTCCTGTGGCTGCCGTCGCATCATCCAAGTGGATGCTGCACACTGGTGGTGGTTGATGAGAGACCCCCCATATGATTGTAAAGCGCTTTGGGTGTACAACAATACACAATAACGCGCTATATAAATGCATCATTCATCATTCATAATACTGCCTCTGCCAACCCAAGTAAATGATGCACACGCAAGCCTGATCTAAAAGAAAACATTATTCATCAGACCAGGCAATCTTATTTCATTGCTCCATTGTCCAGTTCTGATGCTTACATGCCCATTGTAGGCACTTTAAAGGTGGACAAGGGTCATCATGGGCATTCTGACTGGTCTGTGGCTACGTATCCCCAGATTGTAACAACACAGTCAGTTATTCACTGATTACTTTGTTTTCTATGGACCCTGGTTTCTGTGGCACTACATTTTTTATGCATTTACATAAAAGCTAAGTAAAGAGTGGACAAGAGTATATATTATATTTAATTAACATTTACACAATAACATTATATTTGTATAGTGATGAACACATTAGTTAATGCACAGTCAAAAAGTTGCCATAGTATAGAGATGTCATAGTATATGAAGTACGCACACACGTAAATTAGCATATTGAGATGATTTATGAAGGAACATTTGTTTTTTTATCACAGGAATAAGCTGCATTTTAAAACATTAAAATAGAATGCAGTTATATTAAACTGTAATAATATTTCACAATATTACTGTATTACTGTTTTCTTCATAAGGGTTTGCGTCAGGATTGGTGCCCATGTATGTTGGTGAGATCGCCCCTACCACTCTAAGAGGAGCTCTGGGCACTCTGCACCAGCTGGCCATCGTCACTGGCATTCTTATGGCCCAGGTACAGTAAAGTCACCTTTATTTATATAGCTCTTTACACAATACAAATTGTTTCAAAGCAGCTTTACAGTAATAAACAGGAAATTAATGATTCAGTGATGCAAACAGAATTTAATTCTGCTGTAAAGCAGCTCTAAAAACGCAATAGTAACAGTCATTATTCAGTTGAAATCAGGTAATTGATTTAGTTTGGTTGCAATAACTCTGTAAAGTTCATCAATTATGGCATGAGTTCAATTCATCTATAAACAGCTCAGGAGAGAACAGTGATGTCATCATCGAGCTCAGTTCAGTTCTCATTCAATAGTGTCTGTGGGGGGGTATTTATATTTTTATCTAGTACCTAGTACTACATCATGCTAGCTTTTGGTGATGGGAGTTGAAGCTAGCCATAGGGTATGTGCGGAGGACTTGTTATTGTGGTTTTTCCTGAGAATCTGTGCTGATGGCTGTCTCTTTGACAAGGTCTTCACAGGGGATCTGCCTCTATGGCTCGTCTAGTTGTCATGGTCTCCACTGACATTCAGGGCTGTTGTGGTCATCTCTAGGTGCTGATCCAGCATCTGGTCAGGATAAGATGCGGATCCGGGTGACTACGGTAACCTTGGAATAAGAATGAGACAGACAAACTAATATCAGAGTAGATGCTATTCCACTTATAATGTAACAAGTACATTGGATGTTAAGTACTCCTGGTTCCAGTTGACCTAATTTAAGCAGCCTAACAATCCTTTAAGGGATATGAATTACTGAAAAGGGATAATGTTATGTTAAGTGTGTTAATGTTATGTGTATGCCAGGTTAAAGAGATGGGTCTTTTAATCTAGATTTAAACTGACAGGGTGTGTCTGCCTCCTGAACAATGCTAGGAAAACTAGAGTTTGGATGCTAAATAAGAAAAAGGATCTACCACCGCAGTCAATTTCAATATTCTATATTTTCAGCTGTCCAGAATTTTGAGATTTAATGGACCTGAAGGTCTATATTGTGATAAGAGCTTGCTTAAGTCATGAGGAGCTAAACTCAGGACTTTGTAAGTAATCAAATATACACAATGTTACTAGATAAAATATTACTAGAATCAGAAAGTATGACCATATTAAGCCTGGTTCTCTATATATTGCATTTTGTATCAGCTGGAGTTTGTTTATTAAGCCTGCAGGGCAACCACCCAGCAAAGCATTACAATATTCTTCTAGTCTTGAGGTCATGAATGCATGTCAACTCTGTCATGTCTATGTAAATATTTATTTATTTTTTGCATTCTGACACTAAGAGCATATTTTATAATTTAGATATATTTTTAAGATGGGAATAATGTGGTTTTACAAATGTTGCTATCAAAGACTGATATTAAAAGATTGATTTGTTTGATATCAAATCTTACAGTATCTTAATTTCTAAAGTTCATTCAAACAGTTTTTTATTTTCTTGTTTTTAATTTTCCTTTTTGAACTCAGAACTTTATGGCATCAGTAATTATAATTACAGTGACCAGTCTTCAGTCCTCTATTATTTCATTATCAATATTATTTTCCCTTTTCGTTATTCTCTTCAGATCTTAGGACTGGAGTCCCTGTTGGGCAGTGAGCAACTGTGGCCGGTACTGCTGGGTGTTACCGTACTCCCTACAATCCTGCAGATGACGCTATTGCCTTTCTGTCCTGAGAGCCCGCGATTCCTCTACATTGTCCGCTGCCAAGAGCACCATGCAAAAAGCGGTGTGTCATACTACACAACACTGAATCCTGAGAACGCATACAGGAGCAGTGTGCCATAAAAAACATTTTGAGATGTCTGAACATTTGAACAATGCTTCCCTTCTGTTTAACCTTTATGTCATGGCATAACGAACGTGTAAATCGTATAAATTATATCTGCTCATTGAACCTACCGATAGACAGTCAGCTAGGCTACCACTGGGAAAAAAATTAATACTGCCTAACCACTGGCAGATTATAATTTGTAATAATTTATATTCATGTAAAAAAAATAATTGTAAATGTTTAAAAAGTATTATTTTATATGTACTTTTTATGTTAGCCTACATTTTTATAAATATTGTTCAAAATCAGTTAGAACGCACTTTTATCATAATCCAATATCATTTTAATTGATAAACACGCACACTCAATACTGAAAACTTCAACCTTCCTATTTTCTCTCTTCTTTAGCTTTGCGGCGTCTGACTGGCCGTCTGGAGGTCAGTGAAGACTTGGCTGAAATGAAGGAGGAAAAGAGAAAGATGGACATGGAGAGAAAAGTATCCATTGCTGAGCTCTTTCGCTCTCCTCTGTACCAGCAGCCCATCATCATTTCTATTCTGCTGCAGCTCTCTCAGCAGCTGTCAGGAATTAATGCTGTGAGTGCTGCAGATGTGCTCAGTTGATCAACTAGGAAAGAAACAGATAAACTTAAATTACTGCTAAAAGGTTCATATAAAAAGCTAAATGCAGCTCTGCTAGAAGGTTCAAGCACCTTTGCTTCAATAACTGAATTAGTTCTCTTCATTGCTTCATGTAAATCTGAATCAATTAAATAAATGTAAATATAATTGACCTGGCCTTGCTGATATGGTGGCACAAAAATAAAGTGGTTACACCACCAGTCAAAAGTTTTTGAACAGTAAGATTTTTAATGTTTTTTTAAGAGTTCTCTTCTGCTCACCAAGCCTGCATTTATTTGATCCAATATGCAGCAAAAGCAGTAATATTGTGAAATATTTTTACTATTTATAATAACTGCTTTCTATTTGAATATATTTTAAAATGTAATTTATTCCTGTGATCAGCTAAATTTACTCCATCCTTCAAAAATCATTCTAATATGCAGATTTGCTGTTCAAGAAACATGTATTATTATTATTATTATTATTATTATTATCAATATTTAAAACAGTTGAGTAAATTTTTTCAGGATTCTTTGATGAATAGAAAGATCCAAAGATCAGCATTTATCTGAGATAAAAAGCTTTTGTAACATTATACACTATACCATTCTAAAGCTTGGGGTCAATAATAATTTTTAATACTTTTATGTAGCAACGATGCTTTAAATTGATCAAAAGTGATGATAAAGGCATTTATAATGTTACAAAAGATTTCTATTTCAGATAAATGCTGTACTTCTGAACTTTATATTCATCAAAGAAACCTGAAAAATTCTACTCCGCTGTTTTCAACATAATAATAATAATACTAATAATAAATATTTTTGAGCAGCAAATCAGAATGATTTATGAAGGATCATGTGACAGGAGTAATGATGCCAAAAATGTAGCTTTGAAATCACAGGAATGAATTACATTTTAAAATATATTCAAATATAAATCAGTTATTTTATATAGTAAAAATATTTCAAAATTTTACAGTTTATGCTGTATTTTGGATCAAATAAATGCAGGCTTGGTGAGCAGAAGAGACCTCTTTAAAAACATTAAAAATCTTACAATTCAAAAACTTTTGACTGGTAGTGTATCACTGATTCTTGAGAAGTGAGACAAAACGGTGCAATATTGAAAAAATAAAGCCTTGTACTCAGACAAATGAAACTACATTTTGTATCTTACATGTACTAAGCTACTGAGCTATTCCACCTCCCAACTTTTCTCTTTTTTTTTATCAAATTGTGCTTTTTACCTTGCCATCACTTATTTTGCAATCACGCAATCAAGATGATTTTAACATTTCAAAACACATTCTCATGCTAGCAGACAGATTACACATGTGACCAACAATTCCTAAACAAATTCATCATCAAAAAATCATAATCAAATATTATCAAAATATTTATCTGACGGATGTGATATAGACATGAATAGTCATTTTTGAATCAATCAATTACTGTATTAAAACAAACACAAACGGTGAGTATTTTATTGTTTATAAAGCTTTTATTCAAGATTCACATTTAAGTATATCATTGGAACACAATTTTCTCATCTCAGAACAGTATGTCTGCTCTGCATCTGTTATGGTAATAAGGTAACTTTTAGAAAGAGTTAAATGAACAAATAAAACAATTAGTTGTTACCTCTGTCTATTTATATTCACCAGGGGCCTCATTTATAAAATGTGCGTACGCACAGATTTGATCTTAGAGTGTGCGTACGCTAAAATCCACGACAACGTTCATATTTATAAAGAAAAATAGCCTACATACCGCCACATCGGGGTCTGAACAGGCGTATGCACTTTTCCTTGTGGCAAAGTCGGAGTACTGGAGTACTTAAACATCTAAGCTGCAATAATAATAAAAGCGGAGCAAGCACCGACTTCATTATTAACAACAAAGACACAGTGTAAGAGATTAATTGTGTAGTGTAGTCAGATTTTTTATTAACGGGAGTTTTTGCGAGATTAAACTGACCTTTTTAGTATCCTAATGTTACAGTTATTTACTCGCTTTCTGTACACAGTTTATTCCATGTTTTTTTTTTTTTTTTTTACAAGAGAACTTGCAAAGTCTTGATTTACTACTAATGCGTAAAATAGAAAAAAAAAATGTATAAACGCATCTCCGACTGTTTAGCCTAAGCATAGGCCTATGTTGAGCAATAACGGTTTTTAATATATTCTATTCAGTAACATTGTTAACTGTTTTTATTTATAACATCTGCTGCTTTGCTTCTGTGAAAATGAATAGAGACATCAGCCTTAAACTTTGTTTTTTGTCATTTACATCAGTTATATTTGTATAAAATACACTATATATTTTTTTGTGTCAGTACATTAATGGCACATTTGAACAGCATTAGTAAACTGTGTAAATATAAAGAAATTTGCAGGTCTTTTCAGACCGGAGACCATAATCGTGTAACAATTAATTTTATTATGATATGAAACGCCCAATTTTCCTTTCAATAATGTTTTTTAAAGTTTTGCAAAAATTTCGTGATATTAAACGTTTTATTAATTGTCATAGCAAGTGATTTTAAAAGTAGGTTGGCTCACTTTTTATAAGATGACTGAATTCTTAGTTTATTCTTACATTTGAAAACCTAATTGTTTTATAATTACTATTATTATTAATTTAATTTATGCATTTAGCAGACACTTCGACTTACAGTGCATTCAGGCTATAATTGTTTTTTTACCAGTATGTGTGTTCCTTGGGAATTGAACCCACAACCTTTTGCGCTGCTAACGCAATGCTCTATCACTAAGCCACAGGAACACCGGTTAATATTATCATATAATTATTATTATTATTATTATTATTATTATTATTATTATTATTATTATTATTATTATTATTATTATTATTATTATTATTACTGTTGTTTCTAGACGTAGTAATTTTGATAACAGTCAATTGAAAAAATATAACAACACACAGTTTGTCCACAGAATAATTACACATTAGTAAATAAAAAGTGTCCCTGCACGAATCTCTGCCTCCGCCAGCAGGACCTCAATTTCAGACTCAGTAAAGTTTAGTTTTTTTTCTTCTCTTTGTGCCCGTCATTCTCAAACATAAAAATTTGGAGAAATTCGGATATTGGCATCTGCTCTTTTATATGGTAATGATATTAATTAGGGGCGTTTACAAGGCGGAGATCTGACACCAGTCAGCTGCGCACAATTTCAAGATCGTTTGCGAATTATAAATGTCACATCTGGAAGAGAGGTGTACGCATGTGTTTTTGTGCGCACGTTCATTTTCTCTGAATCACACTTATGCACTTTTGAGAAATTATCTTAGAACAAATTTAGGACGGTTTATACGAAATATTTTTTAAATGAGGCCCCAGGATCTTAATATTCACATTTAAACATCTTAACAAATTATCCAAAAATGACCAGAACACATATGATCAGAATACAAGCTTAATTACAGATATGTTTTATCCAGTGTTTTGTGTTCCCTCAGTGTGCAAAAGGCTCATTAATGCAGACGCACAAAAGCGCTCTTTTCTCTATCGTGGGGACTTTTATTTTGGTGGAATGCCGTGCATTCTGTGGAGTGCTTCACAGCGATATGATGACTGGCTACCACCTCCACCATGGCCCTCTACTGAACCAGTGTCAATATCTCCAAAGGGTGAGGAGAGAGAGATGGTCACCATCATAGACAGAATGATGAATGAACTCCAGTTAATGAAAAAGAGTGCTGTGGCCAGCTCAGCAACTCAAAGTCGTCTGTCTTCAACCCCTAAGAGACCACCAGTTAGGAAACTTCATGATACTTCGACTCAGTGGTCACACTATTACTCACCAGTCACGAGCTGTCCTACTGGCATGGACTGGGCTGAATCTGGGCCTTCATTTAAATGCTTACCAGGGCCTCACAGGAGTCAGTGTACCTCCTCCCGAGAATGAACTTATCAGCCCTCATTAGCTACAATGGAAGAGAAGGAATACTATGGGCCAACACCGAAAATCCCCCTCTTCATCCATAGGGACCCCATGGAATTATCCAGACTGAAGCTGGCCCTAACGAATGTGTTGCCAAGGGATGCCAGTGAGCTTTTCAAATATCAGGTTCTTGTGGACCATCTTGAGGTTGGAGAAGGCTGTCCTTATAGCCGATTCATACATTAATTCGCCTATGCCATACTCTGATACCATGGTCGCATTGAATGAGAAGTTTGGGCAGCCACATCACATCGCCTTAAAGAAGATTGCTGCTGTCATGGACTCACCAGAGATAAGGCGAGGAGATACAGCAGCCTTTGAGAGGTTTTGCTTTGCATGTTCAGTCACTAGTGGGCATGTTGAAAACCCTAGGCCCGGCTGGAGAAACTAAGATGCGGCTCGCATGTTGCACGGCTGCTCACGAAACTTCCACCTGAGTTGAGGGCAAATTTCCGCCGCCAGATGTATCAGCGACCTGGCTCTACACATACATTGCTTGACTTGGCAGTGTGACTCCAGTATGAATCATGGTGTCAGGGTTACGACATCCCATTCAACACCCGAGTCCTAGGGTCTTTGAGCCACAAAGCTGAGGCGAATCAGTAGACCAGCGGCTACAGTGCTACATGGGGCAGAGAGCTCTGCAGAAAGTAAGGCTGTGAAGCGAGAGGGTCAGAGCCCCTCAGAGTCCAAAAGGTGAGGTAAGATAAAGCCATACTGCCCATATTGTGAGAATTCAAAACACTTGCTGAATAAGTGCACAGCCATACAGAAGCTCACAAGGGAGGAAGTTATAGAGTGGATCAAGGTGAATAAGAGATGCTGGAGCTGTGGGAGATCCCACCAAGCAACACAATGCGACCTCAAAAGACTCTGTGACCTGTGTCAAGGAAAGCACTTGAGAGTCCTCCATAATGTGAACACCCGTCCAGCTGCAGAGCCACCCAAAGAAGAGAGTTGTCAGGTGAACACTAGTAGTGAGGTCCTTTACCTGGACCGGCCATCA